TATACTGTACGGTATATTATGGGGACAGCCATGTCCTACGGACTGCTAATCATTGGGTTCGCGTTTCTCGTGGGAAACGCCGGGACTGTAATGCAGGCGTCGCTGGCTATGAGCGGCGCTATGAGTGACCCTATATTTGGCTTATTTATTGTCGGCTTATTTCATCCGTACGCCACCGCACCGGTAGCCAAAATAGACTATAATATAGTATATTGTGTTATTAAAAGGGTATATATTTTATGACATAATCTGTAATAAAGGGCGCATTAATAGGATTTCTGAGTGGATATGGCGTTACCGTAGTCCTAGCTATCGGTTCTCTGGTTATTCCGCGACCGAAGGTATCGTTACCGACCACTCTAGACCACTGTCCCCTAGATGTCATCCAAAGTGTGTTCACCCGATTTGAAACACTGCCCAACTCTACGTACATCCCGTCCTATGATAATGTGGAGTATGTCTTACGAAACACTTCACGAAATTGTGTGTAAAATAAAATATTTTTTCAGAGGTTTGGGTCAATTCTTTCACATCTCATACCTATTGCTGTCAGCCCTTGGATTCACGATATGTATTGTGGTATCAGTGGCGGCCAGTCTATGCATAGGTTTGTCAGTAATACATGATTTATAAAATGAGAAATATAAAATTATACTACATATTTAATTTTTTAAATGTATCAGGCAAACAAATCAAAACACTCGATACAAAACTCATGTCACCAGTCGTTAAATATATATTTCCCGGTATTGGCGCCCAAAATAAAGTATTGTATTTTGAACAGTAAATTATAGTTTTAATATTTATATGAATTTTGTTTCAGCAAAAATCCAATGATATCGAGACAATAGATGCTACGTATGTGTCGGAGCCCAAGGGTACACCAGATATAAATCAACCCTATATTACATATAAAGTAACCAGTGTTTAGACAAATAAAATAATTTACAATTCTATACTAGCAATATCTCTCTATAAATTATTACTACAGTACAGTATAAATCATTTAATTATGTATTAATAAAATATTGATATAAAAATAAAATTACCTAGAAAAAATTAGTGGTCAATTATAGTCTCATTGAGTAGTTTTGTTTTGGACCGGTCTTTGATGGTTGAGCTCATGTCTCAATTACAGGACAGTCTACTGTGAATTATTTTGTGATTATTTTCAATGATTTTCGGACCACTTATTATTGTTAAATCATTTCTCATTTAATAATTGAAACAGTTTGTCATAAAAACTTTACAGCTTTTCACACGTAGAATGTAACAAATAATCACATTTCATTATTAAAAATATAATTTATATTAACTATCACTGATGAGTCAAACTTGTATCTATATTTTATACTATTCATAATTAAATTAATATAATTCAATTATAAATTACAACCAAAAAAGTAAATGCATGTTATATAATTTCAGAAACTGATATAAAAATTATTGTTTTATTATCTATACTAACAAACAATGTCCAAAAAGCTCAAAGAAATGTAATAAAAACATGATATCATTGTGATATATTAATTCATTATATTCATAGCAGGGCTGTTTGTAATATTCCTTACAAATCAAAAATTAAAATGCTTATTAAAAATATAATTAATAAATTTTTGCTTATTCTGATTTTAAATATATTTAAAATAAATTGTGACCTTAATAGCAGTATTCAACAACTTAAAAATTACAATAATAAACATAAACAAACATCTAACACAACTGGATCATCACCTGAACCTACCGTCTCACCCATTGTCACCACAGTTACAGCGACACCGACACCTAAATTGTCGACTCAAACCTACCCGTCCACCAGAGGCCCGGAAGATTTTGAATATTGTAGTTTTGATTACGAATGTCAAAATCTGTCCACATATGGTGGTATTAGACCATTTTGTGACAATAATAAGTGTGTTTGTCCGGCTAATTACCGGTTCAGTAAGACTGGTGAGTCGTGTCAATATATTAACTGCAACGACAACTCTGAGTGTCGAGAAAGTGATTGGATTTGTGACACAAGTCTTCAGAGTTATCGTTGTGTTTGCAAAACAGACTTAAAAATAAATGCAACTAAAACTATGTGTCAAATACCCAAATATGGTCAGCCCTGTACCACACGTACAGATTGTAATGATGATAATATGATGTGCAGTGTTATTAACGGGAAAGGTGTATGTCTGTGTTCAGACAATTACGAGTGGAATTCCGACCACAATAAATGCCTGTCCAATGGATGCAAAGAGAGTAAGGAGTGTTCATATTGTCAGTACCCGGACAATAGATACTGTTCCCGAAAATGGTTGGGTGCATGCTACTGTTCATCTAGCAAGTATAATACTGGTTACAGGTGTTCACTATGCAGCTTATGGTACCCAACCACCAGTTATTTGTACACAACGAGCGGGTATTGGTACCCAACCAGTAGTTATGATGGTGTTAATGGTTGGGGTATTGCTATACCCGCGATACTGGGGATTGTGTTTATCATAGCATGTCTAAGATGTTGCTGTAAAATGGCTGAACTCCAAAAGAAATCGAGAAGTACAAGTGGTACCAGGTCTACAACAAACACTAGGGTAGCTTTTCCTTATATAGTGAGGCCCGCCAATGAGCGAAATACCCGTCCGGTTAGTCAACCCATAAGAACCGCTAATTTAAGCAGAAATTTGAATCTAATTTCTGTGACTAATATGTCGCCCAAAGTTGATGACAAACCCCCGGCGTATGGGGATTGTAGTCAACCCCCAACATACTCATCACTACAGTTTGATAAATGATATGTTATTTTTTAATTGAATTTATTTTATTATAAATGTTATCTTAATTTAATCAGTTTTATTGTCTATTTTTTACCGTGTTGTTGATTGATATTATGTTAAAAGTATCACT